TATTATGCTTTGTGTTTCTGATTAATTATTAGTTAATTAATATGATTAATGTTATAACTATTCACGAGGCAAATTTTTGGTATTTTAAGATTCATGCTCACATAAGAAGGCAATGGATCTTGGCATCTTCATGTCATAACTCTATTTAATCACACTTTAGTCCCTCATTTTCAAACAAACAATCTAAGGGAAATAATATATATATATATATATATATAGATATATAGATATATAGATTTTCATAGTGACATTAAGAGGTAAATAGACAAACTCAGAGGTAAGCAAATAAACACAGCCAAAAATTAATAAAAGCATAAGTTTCATATCCCTCTCATTTCAATTACATAAATTACAAAAGACAAACATAACCTATAACAAAGCTAGAACTGCCATTGCAATTTTGGCCTTCCTTCTTTTCTATCCTTCTCTTAATCATCATCAATTCATAATAACTCAAACCAAGCTCTGCACCTAAGCCTTCACTGAGGTCTTTGCTTTTCAACCCACAATTGGGCTCATATAACTTGTCTATATGATCTAAAAGCTCCTTGATCACAACCTTTGACTTCTCTCTAAGATCATCATTGTGCCATGTGAAATAACTACAACCACCTCCTTGTCAATTTCTTCGACAACTTAGATGCAAGAACCAGAAACCACATGGATGAATGATAAATTATACTTAGATATTAATCTCATAATACTTTCAGCACTCATAAAATCTTCTTCCTAAGTTGCTTTCAATCCATGCCGTCTATTGAGGAGTAACTAATTCACAATGGCATACTCTCCTCGGACCTTCATATTCGACCTCCCCACCACGTTTCCTCAACAATGAAACCTTTCGTCTACTTGTTATGGTAGAAGATGAACTCGAGTCAACCATGGCACTTGAACTCTACACAGAAGACTTCTTTTGACAAGTTCTTCTTCTCCTTCTCCAACACATGACAATGGTAGGTAGGGAGTTATTTCAACACAATGAAGATTTTACTTACACCAACTGTACAACGGTCAAATTAATGGACTGTCATATGTAAAAAATTAGTAGGACCCATAAAAAAAACTAACATCTGTAACTACCAAATTAATAGGAGGCTCTGAACACTCCCTTTTTCATAGTTCAACATTTATTTTAAAATAACTAATAGTATAGACTACCAGCTACTTTTAGAAAAAATAGTATATGAATAAATTTTCATATTTACCCATTTTTTATTAGGATAGGAGGTTGGGGTAATTTTATAAACGAAATAATTATATTATGCACTCCATTTTTAACTCCCTAATTTCAAGGGGTAAAAAATTGAGTTATGGATGGCAAAGGAGGGCTTTAAAGGCCTTGCCTTGCCATTCCATCCCCTTTTAAAAAAAAATTCACAAACAATGGCTTAGACATTTTAATCATCCTACTCCATTCTCATTCCTCCTTAAAAAAATCTTCCAAACATAATGTAAAGCCCAAGGCTGATCATCAACTGCTTTGTCAAATATATAAGATGAGGATCCAAGTGTGCTATAGACTTGTGAGCGTAGTTCATGTGACCAAGTCTAGAATAGACTCAATATCTCACTCCCACTACCTCAATGACTAAAGCAACTATATCTCATTGCCTTAATATACCATTTTTACTATTTTCAAAATTTGAAGTAAAACATTGCATTTAAAATAAATTTAGAGTCTAGATATAGTTTAGGGATTAATATATCATTTAACCCTATTATTTTTTATATTATAAAACATTTTATCGTCTTCCGTATGTTCTTATATTCTTTACATTCAAGGAACCATAAACATCAAATAAAAAAATATATCATAAAAAGAACATTTCTAAAATTACAATGGTTCTAGAGTTACAATCAGAGACTAACCCTCAATTACTCTGTTAAGCCACATAGGTCACCCGACAGAGTCCAAACTCGGCATCCTACTCCAACAGCCTCAACGACTTTACTTGAGCAAATTTTTCCCACTATTTATGTTACTTCCTATCGGTCTATCGCCATAATGTTCAGCGATCGTGGGTTGGAGTCATACACTTATAATACAATATATTACTTGGAATATTATTTGATCTGGGACTTTGTGTTGATTCTAAGCCATTGTTAATAGAACACAGTCTGGTGATTACAAACCTGGGGCTTAAACCATGCCATGTTGCGTTCTGCGTTGTTAATTATCTCGTGGCATTCCATTTCCAGGAAGTTCAATGATCTTCTTCCTTTTGCTTTGCGATCTTCGTCCTCTGTGTCTATTCTTTCCCTTTGACGTTCAACAGAGAGCATGAACCAGAGTTGAACAAGACTGATGAAGATCCACTTCCATTTTCTGCTACTTTCACAAGAGAATAAAAAAATGATAGGGGGAAAAAACCAAAAAAGAAAGAAATCTCATGTAGCCATAGAATCATATACATGAAGTTTTTTTTTTTTTTTTTTTTTTTTGGGCTTGACTGGGAACACACAGTCACATGCCCCAACACATAGAACCCACGATCCCCTCTTTTGAAGGATTTTCCTGCCACTAGGCACATATTAACTATAGTTTGCTTGCAACACTAGGAATTCTGATGCTGATCACAGTGTGATAAACAAGAGCCTACATTCAATAAAATTGTCCTATAATCGGCATTAAATTTTTTCTATGATCGTTATTTGTAAATTTTGAATCCCTTTTTATGATAATTTTGATTTTTCTATAATTTTTTTGGCAATTTTCTGTAATTATTTTGATCAAATAACAGTTAAAGTTAATTTTTATTAATAAGATAAACAACATTGCATCATTTCTAAACGTTGTAAGAGATCATTGCATAAAAATGAGTTTAGAGTTTAAGTGCTACTGGACATCTAATTTAAGTGCAAATTTGTCATTTAATTCTTATATATATATATATATATATATATATGTTCTTTTTGAAAAAAATTGATAGTCCTTATTTTACCAAATATTAATGATTCTTTGTTATAAATATTTTTATATAAAAAGAAGAGATTTATATATGGTTTTGGAGGGAGTACTATGTTTAAAAATAAAAAGCATGTTGGTCTTTTATATATGTAATTAATGAGGTTTTCTAGTTAATAATTAATTGTATTTTTTACTTTATAATTTTAAATAATTACATTAATAATTTTATAATAATGGCTTGAAATTCAATATTATTTATAATTATTAAAAAGTAATCATAATTAGAAATATTTGAAACTAAAATTTTGAATTATTTATTATTCTGATTTTTGAAATAATTTTTATTTTAAATTTTAATTTTTGATTAAAAGTTTACTACTTTAAAATTCTAATAAAATAAAATATTAGTTACTTCCATTAGGGGCAATACTGTTCGAAATACCGACACGCACAAAACATAGGCATCTCTCCTAATTACTTTTTTTAAATATATACTTTACCTCTTATTAACATCTTTTTTATTTTTTTAGTACCTTTTATTTTATGCCTAAAAAAGAAAGAGAATAACATATGGAAATACATTTTTTATAATGTAAAACATTATGTCATTTTTCCCATTCATTATTATATTCTTTATGTTTAACCAAGCATAAACATCAAATAAAAAATATGTATTTAATTTTTTTTTCTTCTCATTCTATCAAAGAATATTTCTACAATCAAAGAAGATATTTTAGGGTATTTTATAGTACTTAAAGGCTCTTCTTAAAGAGAAGAAAAGATAAAAGGTCCTAAAGTCAGAGGCTGATCCTTAACACATTGCTAGGCGGAATTAAAACTAGAGGCTTTTACACAATGGACTTGGCGCTTATACCATGCCATGCTGCGTGCTTGCTGTGTCGTCATCGTGGCATTCCATTTCGGGCAAGTTCGATGGTTTCTGAAACATCATCTTCTTCCTGTCGCTTTGCCTCTTTATGTTCCTCGCAAGACACATCACTGTTTGATCATAATACATTTATTTCAAATGCTAAGTCGGTGGCCTTTGTTTGGTGCCATTAAAGAAGGCGATGATGAAGTTCAGTGTGGCATGCTGGGCCTGGGCCTATCAGTTTCCTTTGACGTTCGGCAGAGAGTACGCACACAAGAGTCTCTTCCGCATTAACACTTGAAGATATTCTGATTGCAAACTTTTGGACTGATGAAGATCCACCCCCATTTTCTGTTAGTTTCACAAGAGAATAACCATATGACAGAGAAAACCCAAAAAAAAAAAAAAAAGTTCTGTATATGGTTCGCCGGCTAATATGATTCTCAGTTTTTTCTTTTTCCTTCACTTGGAAGAGCGCGCGCACACCGACCCCTAATAATTGATAAACAAGTGCCGACTATAAGCGTACATTGAATAGAACCGTCCATGGTTATGGCCAGGATCTGATTTATTATCTATCTGTAACACGATGTTAAAATCTGCAACACAGGATGGGACCAGGTGAAATCTCAACCCACAATATCATTTTAAATAAAACCGTCAATTGAAACCGAACCTGTCAAGCTAGCCTTTTTAAGCATAAAAAAATCTAAAGCCAGACCACTATTTCAAAGTATAAAACGTCCTTTTAAACTCTAAAATAAAAAAATCAATCCTAAAAAGTTAGGATTGACCCTTTTAAATTCTTTTTATATTTTTTTTAAATTTCAATTTTAAAAAAATTAAATACCACATTAAATTTAAAACCTTAACCTCTTTTTACGAAAATGAAAATGACACGTGAAAAACTTAATATATGTGCCATTGTTTGAGCTCTATCAAAAAGAAAAAATATTATATTAATGTTAGTGACAATAAAAATAATCAAGATTCCATGAAAGTAACAAAGTTTAATCATTATTGATGTTAATTTTGTAATGTTTTTATTAAGCTAAAATGTTTTTATTATTGATGTTGATTTTGTAATGTTTTTATTAAGCTAAAATGTTTTTATATATTTAATGTTATGTATAATACTTTTTTCAAAATTTAAAAAAAATATAGGGCCCAGGCCCTCGGGCTGACCAAAATAATGCCCAAGAATATAATCAAGCTATATAAGACTAACTCATTTAGACTGTAGTCCTTAATTGACATCTCGAATTTTGAAGATCAGGTACAGCGTGAAAGGGCCTCACGATTTCACAATTACATCACAGAAGAGTGAAGACATGGCATGCTTATTTTTGCATGAATGTTACAAAAAGGAAGGCCTACAACAATTAAATAAAAAATGATTGTAATGCCGCTATCCAGAGGCAAATATGTATGTAGCAGTGAATTAGAGCAACATCGGCCAGGAGCTCCCATGGAGTTGAATGAAAGGAAAGAGGGGGGAAAAACACAAAGTTGAACTAATAGCGGTTCCAGTAGGTTCTGCGTCTGAACCAGTTGTAATCAGGCAAGCCCTGAATAGGTCCCATGGCTGCAATTGCTATATCCTGCAATGGGGAGAACATACCATGAAAACCATATACGCCTTGAAACATCATACCCAAAATAATTTCATGAGAATAACGATGTCATGTCTCTGCAGATTTCAACTGTTACCTTGTCATAAATAAATCGGTTTGCCACACGTTTAAGTGTGCTTGCATCTACTGCATCGATTCTAGCAAAAAGTTCAGCAAATGGAATCCTTCGACCATATGTGAGCAACTGAAATTGATAAAATTTGGTGAGTATAGCAATTTGTCATGAACATAATCCTTAATGCCAGAGAGCAGGAGATAAAAATGATGCTGCATGCAAGCAAGTCATAATTGAGATGCATAAAGCCAAATATCACAGATTTTAGAATTCAAATAATGCGTGCAGATTACCAGATTTTCGACACAATCTCACCAAAAACACATTCTCTTGTTGTAAACCAACATCCAAATATGTTAAGACATCAAAATGAGATAAGAACAGTGTACGAAATTTTTCTTAACATTATAAAATAGGAAACAAAAGGGGGAGACTTGTGATATGCATGCAAATAAATCAGTTACATAAGTATAAGTGCCATTTTCCTATTACTCCATGTTCATTACCAAGACCTTGGTCATCATGGAGCATAATTCAGCTTAAAAGTTCAAGCAAAACACAGCAAAATTGAAGCTCTTTTCTTCCTAAAGTGAATATCTGGTAAAATAGTAAGATGAAAAAAAATAATGTACCTGGCGCCCAATATCTTCAGCCACCGGACTTGTGCCATCTATGTGAAGCAGGAGTGAAGATTTCAACTGAAACAAAGACAATACATTAAACTAGGAACTGGATATAGAAATGAATCACATCAAAGATTTTGCAATACATATACACACACACACAAATCCATACCACAGAAGAGGAATTAAAGGAAAATGTGGCACAAAGATATTCAGGTATGAACTGAGGCTTATAACTATTAGAACTTTAGAAGATCTAATTATATCATTGTAGAGATGAAAGAAACCATTATCTGAGGAAGATAATATACGGACCAGGACTAAGGACATTCATCCTGACTAAAGCAAACCTTGGCTGAATAACCATTACTACAAGTTTCTGACATCTATCACAAATTATCCAACTCAGCCCATATTTTTTTTCTGAGCCAAGCACAGGCACATTTCCATTTTCCACATGGAATTAGCAGGATCGTATACAAGTATGGAGAGTCAACACGCAGGTAAGGTGCCTTACCTGATTACGAGCACGTGTGACATCATCTTCTGAGACCCGATAAGCCAACTTGGTGGTCTCATACATTATTGCATAGGCCAAATCATCCAAGCAATCCGGCTGAAAGGAATAAAAGTTAAAAAAAAAAAAAGCAAAAATATTAAAGATGCAAGGTTACACATTATGAAAATTCAACAAAAGAAAACATCATACAAAGTATTATCCTTAGTCCTTACAGCTTAAGCAATATGCTTTCTCAAACATCAAAATATTAATTCATACACCAGAACATCACTTAGATTGTATATATCCAAAATCGAGACTAGCACAACATTGGCATTCTTATTAGTTATTAGTTAGTTGACACAGTTCATTTCTCCATAATCCAGGTTTGGAAAACAAGATACCCAATATCCATCACCGTGCAAGTTAGAGGTCAAACTTTCCCCCATCATCATCACCAGGACATGACATCAAATATTTCTGTGATCTGCATACAATTTAGAGAGGGGGGCCTACTTATTCCTAATGAAATGGAATCTGGTGCATGGAGGAAAGTCATGCAATAAACCAAGAAACTTGAGGAGAATAAACAAACTTCATTGAAGCAAGGAGGATATTTGGTTTCTTCTCCTCAAGATATTCATTGAAACAAAATTCACCTAGTTCCAACCTCCAATATAAAAACTAAAAAATTGCTCACCTTGGCCACAGCATAAACACCAAAAAGACCTGTGTCCTTATAGTTGGTGTTGAAAGCCATCATGCTTTCCGCAACTTCATTAATGCCAACCCGCTGGGCTAACTCAGAACTGTTTGTGCAGTTAAAATCTTCTCAGTACAAGGACAAATTATTGAAAAAGAAAACTACAATTGACATACCCCATATGTTTTCCACCTCCTGCTGTCTTGTTCCATGAGCCCAGCATAGCCTGCATGACCATCAGGGAAATGGAATCCGGATCTGTCCAGGCAGCTCCTTCAAAAGCTACCGCAAATTGTGCAAGGGGAATATCATCATCAATCATTCTAACCTGTTAGACAAAGAAATTGATAATTAACATTGCTACCAAAAAGTGTCAATGTGAGCGTTCTGAGGATATATATTCTCACCTCAGACCCAGTAAAAATGGCTGGTTCTTTCGCAACTAATTGAGAAGCTGTAGTAGGATCTGCTGACAACTTCGTAAACAATTTTTTTACGTGCTCAACAATATCTTCATGCTTGACAGCTCCAGATGCAGCAATAACCTAAGAAAGCCCAAACAGAAAACATCCATCAGGCTAACTGCCATATCCTGTTATTAGATAAGAATAATCTGTATGGTAAGTAAGTTAAAGGATAACCACACTTAGAGATACCATGCATCCATCATTTAGAAGGAGATGCAAACAAACAGGTACTCAGATTTTCAGCATACCATCCTAGGAGCCGTGTAGTGTGTCTGAATGTAGTTCTGCAGATGATCTTTAGTGATAGTCTTAATATTATGAGCAGGTCCAAGAATAGTTCTGCCCAGAGGAGTGTACTGGAAAGCTGTCGCGTGCAAATGGTCAAAAATAACTTCCTCTGTTTGCCCCTCAACCTACAAGCAATTCCACGTAATAAACAAATTAGAATATAAAAGAAAGCATGTTCAGCTTATATTTAGACAATTCAACTATATGCAATACTTGCTGCAAGACTAACCTTTTGGGGTATAAACAACTATTCATATTAGTGCACTTAACAGTTATTCATTATACCGGTGAAAGAATAAACTCACTTAACTAGTTTAAGATTGACTATTCATTATACCGGGTGAAAGAATAAACTTTTGGCACTAGAAACAGCACCTATGCTACCATGCTTGATTAGAGACCACATGTAAATACACATGAATGAAATTAGACAAATGCCAAGCAAAACTATCAAACCTATGAAATGGGAAGTGCGAAGGTTGTTAAATGTTATGGGCAACCTTCAAAAAGAAGAGCCCACCTTTACAGTAAAAGTCAAAACCTTGTCTTTCTTCCTTAACAACAACAAAATTGACCTAGAAAGATAAATTGGAATAAACAAACCAAGCCCTAGCAATCAGATATCTTTCCCAACCACATAATCAAGCCTACGCCTTTCCTATGTGACTGAGAAATTTGACCCTACAAAATTAAGATTAAGAACCACAAATTCGTTAAAATTACATGATTTATATAACATAAATATATAAATTTGAAGAAAAAGATAACTACCTTACAATGTAAAATGCACATGAACATGAACGAAATTAGACAAATGTCATCCAGAACTAACTGTTATGAGCAACCTACAGAAAGAACCCGACTTCACATAAAAAGTCAGAACTTTTTGTCTTTATTCCTTAACAATAACAAAATTGACCTGGAAAAGGTAAACCGGAATAAACAAACCCAAGCCCTTGGCGTTAGTCATCCTATCCAACCACATAATCAACCAAATGCCTTTCCTATATGAGCGAGAAATTTGATCCTACAAACTTAAAATTAAGAACAACTAAATTCATAAAAATGATTCTCACTCGATCCTTAGACGCAAAGTAATCCTCATTACCTCTTCCATCTCCCTGAGGATCACATCGCGCTCCCGGCTAATTCGGTTCCCGTCAAACTTGGAATTCTGCAGTATGTCAGATAAAATATCAAGTGCCTTAGGAACATCCTTATCAGTAACCTTAGCGTAATACGTGGTTTGCTCCCTCGATGTATACGCATTCAAATGCCCGCCCATGTTCTCAATCTCCTCCTCCAACTCACGCGCCGTCCTCTTCTCCGTACCCTTGAAGATCATGTGCTCGAGAAAATGTGCGGTCCCATTGGTCTCCTCCGTCTCAAATCGTGATCCCGCGTCGATCCAGACGCCAACTGTGGCGGTTTTTGCGGCAAGGTTAGACTCCGTAGCTACACGCAATCCATTAGGAAGCGTAGTAATACGAGTTTCAGGTGCAGAGAGGATTCGAGTGTGGTCCGATAAGGTGGGGCGAGGAGACCCGTATTTGAGGAATCGTGGGTCGGGATTTTCAAGCTGCTTGAGCTTGGACTTCACGGCCTCGGCAAGACGATCATAGATCATAGCATTGGGAGGAGGAGGGGAAGGAAGGGACGATTCGGCGGCGACAGCCGGGGAGGATGATGAGGATCGGACAGTCTGGTACGCCGATGAGAGCGCAGAGCTGCGACGTCGTTGTGAACGCCGAGCCAGAGTTATTAGGTGCTTGAACGCCATGGCTCAATGTACGAGGCTCGCCCTGGTGCAGCTAGGGTAAACCAGAAAAGTATTCTGGCGTGGGTGAGTGGTGGACTACGAAAGAAGAGAAGAAGGGGACTGTGAAGATTTAGGGGAAGTTTTGGGGCAAAAAAAAAAATTCTAGAAAAAGAAAGTGAAAATGAAATATATAATCAATTTAAAAATATAAAATATTTTTTTAAAAAATTGAATGTTTAATCTTTTGAGGTATAATTATTATTTTTTTAAAAGTATTTCTATTGATAATGACTTTATATTTATTGTAGGGTATTTAATAGAAGTAAATATAAAAAAAAATAGGATTAATTGAAAAGTAGGTAACTACTTTATTAAAGGTGAGATTCGGTTAAAAATGCCTTATATTTTTTAACGGATGAAGTATTACCCATTTAGTCCTCTTTATAAATTATTTCTACCAACATCATCAATATCAATATAAAAAAAGTAAAAAAAATAAAAGTATGTAAAAAATTAAACATACTCATATATATATTAAATTTAAAAAGTGAAATTATATTATATTTTCTCTCTCATAGAGAGTGATTTTAAAAATATCTTTTAAATATTATATAAAATGTTAATTTATAAATAAGATTAAATAAAAATTTTAAAATGTATTTTATAAATGAAACCGAAAAGAGTATTTAGTTGTCATAAAAAATAAATACAAAATATAAATTTTATGTTGGATGGAAAACGTGTCTACTTTTTTTTTTATTATTTACAATTGATATCAAGAGCCAACAAAGCTTATAAGAAAACTCAAAAACAAAAAGTACTCTTATCATCATTATCCACCTTCAAACGAAAAAAAATAATGATTGATCAAAAGATTGATACTCCCATACTTTATCTAAAGCAAATTTAACTAAAAAATGAACATAATAATTAGTCTACCTAAATATAAGATTCACTGATGTATCCCAATCTCTATGAAAAAGAGATTGAGCCTAAGTGATTATATCCACATGAGGGTGAAATTTTTAGTTGAATCTAACGAGGAGGTTCATTGCATATACAGAACCAATGAACACCTTGACCTTTAACAAACCAAATCCCAACATAATTGAAAACATGTCCACTTTAAATTATTTACTTTGCTGGCCTTTTTCATTGCAAAAAACAATGAAAAATACTATCATTAACAAAAAATTATTGTACAACTATTTTAATTAGGGTTACAATGCAATAAAAATATGGTTATACTTTTTTGAGTTAAAAATTATTTTTGTCTCTCAATTATTCATTTGCAAGCATTCAGTATTCTAAACTTACATGTGGTCTAGTATTTTCCTTTAACATTTGAAAATAATGCATGGTACCCATCCTTAAAAAGTTAATTTTGATCGTTAATTGATTCAAAAAATTACAAAAAAGATTCATAAAATTATAGAAAAAGTACTCTAAGATAATGTAAAAATTTATAAGTATTCATCCAAAATTTATAAGTCTTCCTTTAAAAATTTACAACAAGTATATAAAATGAGTTTATTTGTAAATAACTAAGCATGATATAGATTTGATTGTGTAATTATATATAGGACAAGTATGAGATTTGATATTTCTTCATAACAGGTTTATCACTAGAAGAAATTCAAGAATGCTTTTGGAGAGGTATGATCAAAGCCATGTTGTTAATCAATGATAACCCAAGAAAAGAATGTGTGAAATGAAATGTGACTGTGGTGGGATTTGTGTTTGACAATTGACAGGGTTAGTTTATATGAGAGTAATTGATCAGGAAACAAAGCTCCCAAAACACTGCCACCTAGATTGCACTGCAAAACAACAAGCCAACTTGTCATGAAAAAGAAAAGGTAAAGAAATGATCAAGATTTAAAAGCTGATAAATCTGGAATGGCTGATTAATTAGAAGTTGGGCTCATCTCATGAAGGAAGATGGTCGCATGTGTGTTATTTAAGCATCATGCCAATTATGTGATCTTGATATGATATTAATATGCTTTTGAGTCTATACTCTGTAGTCTTTCATCCATAGTGTAGATTATATTTACTTATTATTTATAGGTTGTTCTCTTATCACCTCTTTCTCCACTAGGGTTTCCTTCTCTTTTCCTTAATGGCTTCTTTATCGCATTGGCAATCGCTCGTTAAAGCTCCCCCCATTGTGGGAGTCCTCTTATTGGGATGTTTTCCACTTGGAACATGTCAAGTTTGAGTATGATTTTGATTTGGGTTGTGGTGTGCATATTGGGTTGGGTATGTGAGTTGGCAATCTCTAATGGTAGGATAGGGGTTAGGTGTAATGATGGAGTGGTGGAGGTTGAAACAATTCCAACCCAAAACTCACACTTAATCATATCCTATCATGATAGTAAAAAAATTATCTACCACAGTAGAAAAGGAACAACCTAACTATTATGATAGAAAAAGAACTACTTTTACTTCTACCATGATATTTAAAGCGAGCCTAGTTTACTAACATGAGTCCCTACTATGGTAGAAAAGTTTTTCACATAATGATCAAGGCTTCCATAGCAAAAAAGGCTAAAAGTATTGAGCATATAATAAATTCATAATCAATTAACTATCCACATTTAATATGGTAAAAGAGGAGTGAACTCCTTTGTGCTTACCATAGTCGGAAAGAAATAACCCTACGTAATTATAACTTAATAAATGTGACATAGAAATAGAATAAAGATGCCTTTGGTCAAACTCATTCAACTTGGAGCTTGGAGACTAAAAGAATAATATAGTCCAACATGAAAAGAAAAATCAATTAAATAAATGAAATGTCTAAGCTAGGTGGCTTTAGGTGTGGCAGCAAGCTTCTTCCTCTAAGGCTGTACTTATCAAGAAGTTGGCAATCCTTGAGCTGTTCCATTCCCTGAGCTCTACTATTGGCTTCTGTAACAATTAAGAAATGGGTGAGAAAATGTCTTAGTAACCTCTTAGATGTTATGGTGTATCCACTACAGGTAGATGATCCAATCTATTGGGTTTTCACAAATGTTTTACTTCATACTAATAATCATTATAAAGAAATTCTTAGTATATCTAAATTCAATGCAATAATGCATAATAGCTAGCATGCTTGAAAATGTTTTATCCAATATTTAATTATCTCACAAGTAACACAAGCATAGTAGAAAAGTTTCATTCATATAGCAAGAGAATTTAGATAAAAGGTGTGTGAATCCATCAACTTTATCCAGTAACTCAAATATATACTATCCAAAGAACATCAATGATATCAAACCAATATTACGATCAAAAAGTATAAACTATTTGAAGGATAATATTAATATATTAAAAGTCTATTTTTGATTTCATATTAAGTTTCTTCTTATCTCCTCCTTATTTTCTTAGGCTGAAGCTTCAGGCAAAAAGAGTTGTGCCTGGCCAAAGACTCCGTTACTCTATATTAAGCCTTATATTCCCACTTCAACCAAAAGGGGTACCCAAAAAGGTATTGAGCTTATTCTAACTATGGTCAAAGGAATTGTGTAGCTCAGGCATAAAATGAGGCTACTCTGTGTGTGCCACATAAGGGTATATGTAGGATCACGATTCTACCTTATTTCCTCTGCTTTATCTTATAACCTGCAATCACCTCATGAATAGAACAACTCTAATATATTATAGAGTTAATCACATTTTTATTCAATAATGTTCAATGACTATGAACTATCATCTAAAATAGTTATATTTGAGTTCTCATATCATAAACAAAGTTTACATCATACATCATATTTACACCATTATCACAATTAAATTATACAATTAATCAAGATCAATCAATGGCTATTCAATTTTAAATTTTCATATAAGCAATATAGCATTCCTAAATGTTTCACTATGCAACAAAATTTCTTAATTTCTTTTTTACTCTTCACTAGACCAAATTTTCACAAAACATTATAATATACATACTTTATTAGATTCAATTTCATATAAGTATTATAAAATTTATAATTACCGACCAACATGTGTATACATAATAACCTAAAAGAAGTTATCTACACTTACGTTCACTCAAAAATCTTGAGGTTTTCTCATAAGAGATCCTTTAACTAATTCAAATGTCAAAGAAAAACTAAAGAGTTTCTTAAATAAAACTCCTAACACCTCCCATGTTAGAAAGCTTCAACCTAATTTAGAAATATGTCTATAGGTTCTTTAGAAATTTGTCCTTGCTTACACTGCACTGCTCACTCTTTCCTCTCTTGCAATCTCTCAATTCGATGTTGCTGAAAGGAGAGCACATAAGCTCTAATTCAAGGTTCAAGAGTAGAGTTAGTAATTTGGGTCAAACCTGACGGATTAACTTGAATTCACCCAAAAAAATTTAGGGTTGACCTTTAAAAAATGATAATTTTTTAATGTCCAGGCCTATTTGAGTAGCTCAAATAGGCTCGAGAAAATTTAAGCCATGCTCGATTTGGGTTTGACGTAAACACCTAAATAAATTTTTTTAAAATAAATAAAATATAATATATATGAATTAATTTTTTAATTTTTATGTCATTTTATACCAAAATACCATATATTTGAATGCATTACTATAGTTATTTAAAAAAAATCTAAAATATTTATATTTTCATATTTTTATTCAATAAAATATCTCAAAATAATATTTAAAATATATTTTAATATTTATTTTTATATTTTAAGACTCAATTCTTTTAAAAAAAATTTTGAGTCCTATACATCATTTATGTATCCTAATATATATATATATATATAATAAGATAATTAATTTAAAAGTAAAAATAAAAGTAAAAATAATTTTAAAAATAAAATTTTAGGCATGTAAAAATTTCTCAGTCTATTATTAGATAAACATAATAAATAGAATAATATTTTTAAATAATTATTTAGTTATCATTCATATCATACTTAGTTAAAAATTAAGAATAAACTAATATAATTACCCCTTGTATGTAGGTAAGGGTTAAACAATATAAAAGTTAAAGAAAAATAATTTTTAAAAAATACTATTTTACTTATAATTAAATAATTTTTTATATAATATAATGATAGCTATTTTTTTCATATTCTTAAAAATGAAAAGTATAATTTATTCAAAATTTATTA